AGATATTAGTTTTTTCAAAAATAAATAGTAAAACTTATGATATTTTTATTAATATCTTTATTGAAAGTTTATTCATTTAATTTCTCAAACATTACAGTCGGGATTCATGTTAGGAAATTTTATTTCAATGATTTTTCGATCTTTTATCAAACTTCAATTCAAATGGTATAATAAATTCATTTAAATTGACTTTCTAATGGGTCTAAATGTCTGCCAAAATGCCTAATAAGAAATTTGCCCACTTATCTCGTTGAGTATCGTATTCCATTAACTTCAATTTTGCTTCAGTAAGAGTTGCCAAAACTTTTTTTGACTTTCTATTCAAAATACTCGTCATTTTCGATTCAAATGTATTGAAAAATGCTCTATGACAATCATGCAATTCTTTCAATTTATTAGCAACTTTCTTGAGATGTTCCTGACTAATCGCTTCGTTTCGCCAATATTGGTACGTGAATTCGGCTTCAGGTGGGATTTCTGAAGCGCTTAAGAGATTTGGAAAATGAGATCTTATGTCTTCGCATACTCTTTGTATCGCGTTCGTTTTTCCGAAATGGCAACTTATTGAGTTCAACATGCTTTTAAACATATCGAAGTCCTTTGGTTTACAGAATGTGAACAAAGGTGCCAATCCTGATTTCCAATTAATTCTTTTCCCCTTGAAATATGGATCTAAATTATTTCTTTCTCGAATCAAGGTTTCTTTGGCTTTGGTATCAAACGCAGTGACAAGTGTTTCATAGCTGATTTGCCCCATAGCCCCTTTGATGGATAACTGTGAATGAAAATAAAACGAAATATTTTACATTTTATCGACGCGGTTGATAAAAATCTACAAATTGATTTTTGAATAAGTACCAAAAAGAATCAAATTCAAAACGGTGTTGTATATTATTGCTTATAATTTGAAACACATTATTATACTTATCTTATAACTTGAATATATTTCTTTACTAGTATATTATTATAGAAAAAATGAAAAAAAAATTGAATATAACTATTTAAAATAATGTTTACCTCGTCAAACACCAAAATCGATAGTATTACCAAAAATAAAAATTGCTTCATTCTTTCAGTTGTCCACACGAAACGTATACCTCTGAATTTAAGAATTAACTAAAACGATAATACAAGACAGCTTTTATACTCAACATTCTATGGAATAATTAAAAAAATTAATCTAACTTAAAATTGCGAAAAAATACCTTGTTTCTCTCGTTGTTTTCTGCATACCTTTGCATGATTCTATTACGTAAAGAAAGTTTGGTATTTTTAAATTAAATAATATAAAAGCTTTTTTTAACGTGTAGCAAATATTCTGCAACAAATTTTATTCTTTTATTTTGTAGTAAACAAATTCGTGTTTCAAGTTGACGAATTTTTCCGTCCATTTGGAAGTCTCACACTGCAATTATGTTCCATAACACAAGAGACTGTATAAAATGCAAAACTATAGCACAGCTAGTGCTATGGAGTTCTAGTCAGCTGTTTGTAACTGAGCAAAAGTCTTTTCACTAGTCTTTTCACTAGTTGGTGGCAACTTCGTATAAATTATATTGAATTCCGTCGTGGCGCTAGCTATATGACACTTTGAGCATAGTTTCGGTACGGAAAGTCTAGACCTTTTTTATCCCATCACTTTTTTCAGAAACATAATTGAAGTGATTAGAAATATATCCGCTAAGCTCAGCGCTCAGTTAGATAATTTTGTGTATATTGCACACAGACATGTATTTATAATCACTGCATAACTCTTCCAATTTCCTTGGATTTTTGAGCCAAATTCTCCCCCGACCGATTGATTGAGTTTTTACAAATTTTGAAAGTAACTCTTGAGAATTTTTGGCAATATTTTTACATGATGGTTGTTGAATCAAGATTAAAAGATGGGATATTCTTTACACAAACTAAAACTGTGTACGATTTTATTTATTTGCGAACTTTAAAATGAAAAATATATAAGTATAAATATATTCATGTAAATATGGCCATTCAAAATTAGATTTGTGTATCAATTTCCATCAAGAATAGTGCCCATAAATTACGACGCTTGTAGTAGTCGGTAAACAGATTTTTGAGATTGGTTAATATTGTCAAAGTATCATTTTGTGGTTGCAAACAATTGCATACCAGCTCCTTATATTTTCTAACCTTAGCACGACCGCAGTACTTCCTAATCCACCCATCATACATTGCCTCTGTTGCACTTATAAAATCTGCTTTTGCTCCAGTCAGAAGACGTACTTGATTTGTGAGGGTGTTAACATAGCTCCAATGAATTTTTTTCAAACGCGGTAGATTAGTTCGAACTTTATTTTCATGGGTTTTATTCAGAGGTTCATATTGCCACGTGTCATACCTGTCTTGAATTTCGTGTGGAAGGCTCTCCAAAGGTGAAGCGTGAAATGTGAAATGTGGTATTAAGAAATGACACAATTTCATCATTTTTGAGCGGTTTTTCATAAATGTACCTAAATCAACATCATTTTTTATAGTGTATATGGGACATCTTTTGCCAATTGAAATTAACGAATCCAATTCATTAACAATGTTAGAAGCATCATCAGTGTCACAAAGCGAGAAAATGGGCGTCAACTCCATTTCAAAATCGACATCTTCAGATTTATTGTGGAACTTTTCTAGTATTGTCCCATAAGTATCGCCATCATGACCAAATGCCTCTTTGACCAAGACCTACCGGGAAAAGAAAATAATGTTTTAAAAACTTACTTAAATATGTAATATTTATTTCTCATCATTTTCATTAATTTTATATATTTTTTCCAAATTTTGATCTTACGTTATTAAGAACTAAAGTCAACAAAAATGCCAATAACATTTGTTTCATTTTTCCACTAGAGAATAAAATGAGAATGAAAAGTATTGAAATTCATTATTTTCCATCAATCGATACTTATATAGGGAATTTTCAAGTATTTTTTTGAATTTATTACAATAACCTTGTATATACAGTGTGTTGATTCAGCCGGTCTTGTTTTCGCAACACAAAATAAAAGAAAGTTTTGTACAGATGACAATTAGGTCAATACATAAAATAAGACCAAGTTTTTTTTTGAAATTGAATCAAATAATATGATCCATGGCTTCGAAAATGTATAAAGTTGCTCTTGATATTACAATAACAATCTTTTCGCTGTAACGAAAGACTGTTTAGCGAATTATTTGTCCTTACAGATGTTTTTGTTTCAAAAGTATTGACGTCATCAAATGTGATAATCATGATTCGTAAATTATTTTCGTGTATCTTCAAAGTGTTTTAGTGTTCAAGAGAAACATGTCAATGCGATGATAGAGTAGCTTAAAATTAGCATGGAATTAATCTACATTTAACTGGAAATATGTATACATTTTTAATGTCGATCCATAATTGAGATTAGAATCGGTCTTAAAGTGGTAATTAATCTCTATGACAATGTTTGTTAACAATTACTTGAGCACTAAACTTCATGACAAGCCTAAAAAATGCGCTGCTCCATATTCGAATGTGTTTATCTTTGCAAAATACAATTGGGGACAACAAAAAAACAAAGTCGAGCACATATCAATCATCACAAATGCGATTGTAATTCATTGGTCGCGCTTAATGCAATCGAGTTTGTTTTGTGTTAATGAGCGTTGGAAGGTCGATGATATTTTATCGGCTTAATGAATGAAATGAGACTGTTGATTCACACATTGACAGCATCGGCGGAAACGCGGGCGTTGAAAATCACAAATTGAATAAAAAAGGGAAAAAATACAGTCGAGACGATTTTATTTAAAAGAACCAGACATTGAACTGACAATCGACACAATTGACGCGATTTTCCTTTGACCAATTGATGAGATATGATATGACACGGCCACGAGCCGCATACATAATTACTTTGTACTTAACATTGTTTTGTGGTCAACCGCAAGCAATAAAAATTATGTGTTAAAAATAACACGAGCCAAATGTGTGTGCTTTGGAATTTGAGACAATTCCCGATTAATGCCATCAATGGCAGTACCAGTACACATAACACTATTGATAATAATTAGTAATTAATTTCAATTAAGTTGCTACGCTTCAAAATGAAGGGAATTATAAACCGTTTTGTTGACTCAACAATGTTCAAGTCATGGCACAAAACACCAATCTAGCCCGATCTTGTTGTGATGAAATGAAATTTAAATGAGGAAGCGAATTAACAATAATCAAATGAAGCGTTATTGATTTAATACTGGATAAATAACTGTATTTGTATTTGAACCGTAATAAAATTGCTACAAACTGAATGTGACAGTTAACGTATAAAAGTAACATCGTTTGTGTGCCCACAATCGAATGTGAAATCCCATTGGCTTTTGTATAACGCCAAAGAACCTTTGTTTGTATAATTTTTACGCGAACATGCTTAATTGTTTGTAATTATTCTCGGCTTGTTTTCGGTAGAGAACAACTACCGCCTAGCTATAATTGCCTTCTGGCAATTAGAATTTGCAATTTTGCAATATTTGCCCACCGTCCTGTTGTTGCTGTTTTGATGCAAATGGTTCACACAAATCTAATCATCATTTCTCTCTTTCTATTTCCATCTAGCACACACAAAGACGTGCACTTGTTCGTCACCATTCAATGTCAAATGTCAAGATAAATTTACATCAACTATCACTTAGTACTGTCTGCTTTTTCGGTGGAAAATGGCAACAAAGTTCTATTCATATATCGAGCCAATTCCGGTGTATTTCCAATACGGTCATTTGAAATACGAATTGTACAAGCGCATGAATGTGTATTTGCTTCATGAAGAATATTCCAAATGCATACGACCACAGAGGAAAATGGAAAAAGAAGCATCCGATTCGGACATATTTGGTATGAATGAAAGACGTCTGTTTTCGAGGTAACTGTAATTGCATATCTGAGTACCAATTTGGATTTGTCTGCGTTCATTTATTCATTAGCTCAAAAGAGCCACAGTCCAACGACCATAAACTGGAAAAATAAGCTGGACCTTTGGGTAAACTACATTTTCAATGGAAATGGAACAAAGCACAGATAACTATCTGGCAAAAATAGAATTCTCCAATCTCGAAATATATATACACCGATACCAGCCAAAAACAAGCAACTTCGTAACTATGACCAGCTTAGGTGGCTTTTCAAATGGACTCATGTGTAATTAGATTTTTCGTCTATGAGAAATGCAAAAAAAAAACCAGAAGTTACTATAAAAGCTATTTTTCGTTGAATTTTCCGTATTTTCAATTCTCGATAAATATTTTGTGTGGATCTTTGGTGAGAGATGGAATGAGATTGTTCACAATAATGTGAAATTAAAGGACACCTACGATGAGAATAAAGTTTCATTTATAATATGTGTACACTTATGCGAAATAACGTACGCCGCGTGGCGTTCTCTCTCATGCTCACATATTTATAAATTTCGGTTTGCGGAAAATGTCAAAAGAAAAAGACTGATGTAAAATATAGATCAACGCGTTTACTCATCCATATAAATATTTTTAGTGTATGTGGAATGTGCCATAAATACATATACATATATACATGACACAAATGCTGTAGATGAAATAATCCTTTTGCAAAAGCATTGATCCTTGTGAGTCGTAATCTATAATCGCAAGAACGAAGGTGACATACCTCTTTATCATGAGCATTTGAAACATTGAATAACCGTATGCCATTCTCCAAATTGAAGAGAGGAGGAGGATGGGAAGGGGAAGGGAGATGGAAAAAGAGATTCGCACAAACGACACGAAATAAAATGCTTAAACATTGTGTGTGTTCAAAGCGAAAATTTATGATGATTGAAAAATGTGTGTTGTGTTATTCTTCTGTCACTCGATCTGGTGCCTGTGTGCCATTTCCCATCGCCGAGATGTGTATAATTCATATACTATACTATTTGTGAGAAAGAGATGGTGCTCGTATACAAGAATATCTATAAACAACCGAAGTGCGGCACATATCATCTCTCTTTCTCACTTTCAACAGCATTGGTGGCACCAGATCTCGGGTAAAACGTAAATTCCACATACGCTCTCTCTCTCTCTTTCTCTCTCTTTTCGAATAATTGTGCGGCTTGTGATCTTTTACTAGTTTGTCGTCGAATGTTTTTTAACTGTTTATCTACATATTGCATTTGTCGTTTCAGTTCCGTCTTCTTTTTTTTCCTATTTTTCCCCGTTGATTCAATCGTCTTTGTAAGCATGTGCACTCATTTCTATATATTATTCAACAGTATCATACCAGCAGCCAAAGGACACAACGTCGCACAGAAAATTGTAAAATAAACGAAACACAACAAAAAAAACTACTGTAAGTGTATATGTTTGTGTATGCATTCATTGGAGAAAAAAAACGAAAGAAAACAATTTTCGAGTAAATAAACATAATGTTCGTATCCATATCAATACATGCTCGGCACATCCAAACAGATTTTGCACACATTGTGAAAATATTCGATGTGCGTTTTTGCCGTGTTTCTCTCTGTGTGTGTGTCTCTGCATAAAATGCTTTTGAACATGACATGAGAATCTCGAGAGTTGCTGGAGATGTTTGTGTGGAAAAATTTATAGCTATTTGGGTTGATTAATTTTTTAATTGCTGGCAAAATGCGAGCGACAAAAAAGCGACACACGACAATATTTTCCACCAGAAAATTGGAAACATCACACACAGCAAATGGAATGAGGCAACACACACACACGCGCACACACTCATGCGCGCATATGCATATGCAAATTGCTTGAGTTTAAATTTCGAACGAAGAAAATTCGGCAATTATGAAATTATTGAAATTCTTTGAATTTCATCCATAATTACTAGTCGGATTGTATTTTGATGTGTACGTTTAGTGCAAATAGATCTCCGTGCGATATGTGTGTTTATATTGCAAAATTCTCGTAAAATGCAGACATCAAAGGCCCGTTACGTTTCTTCTAATTTGATATAATTCAAAGTTCAGACTTTTATGGGCGCATAACTTTGGCACTTGTCGCTCTCGATAAATTATTACTTCGTTCGTAAAAAAGTTGTCGATGTCGTTTTTTTTCTCTTCTTTTCATTCGCTCACGCCTTCTGCACTCACTCCCACTCAATACTAGTCTCTCCTAGTTCATTTGAATATAACCGACCAACTTTTTCGTACACGTTTTTTTCTCTGTTCATTGTACGGCTGCCATTTGCCCCGAAGCAATTAATCTTTGACGAAAAGAAGAAAACTGATGGAACATTTTTTTCAAATAAAAATTAATTTTCTGCCATCATTCATAACATTATAAGAAATCTCAAACATTCATTTCACAGCCTTTACTAACTTTTTTTTCGGCCAAAGAATGGAAAAAACAACAACATCGACAACTTTTTTTATGAACGAAATAATAACGAATGGTTAAATAAGTGAAAAAATTTGATACGAACAAAAAAAAATCTTCGATAGCAACCAAAGTCAAAATGTTTACCTTTTCATTGAAATAATTTGTGTGATTTTTTTTTATTCATTTCGATATTTTTTCGTTGCGCAGTGACATCGAACATTGAAAGGGAAAAAAAGTTTTCAGTGAGCCAGAATGAAACTGATGCCAATTCGTACAATGTTTTTAATTATTTATCCATTCGATGCAGATGAGTGAGAGCGCAAAAACGCGGTAAAAAATATAATGACCGAAAGGGGTGAGAAACAAAGATAAAATAAAGTTCGAACAAAAGCAGCAAATAAATTCTCTTCTCGTTCACCTTATCCGCGTGTTTCAGCAACAATTCATTTATTTGATACCGTTACAATGTTCGGCATGTGGCGACGTTTCATTTTTCTTTCTTTCGTTTCAGTTCTTTGGCGCTCGTTCTTGTTATTTTCATTTGGTTTCTATTTATAAATTAACCCTTTTTTTCTCGGTGTGCTCACATTCACGCTCACTCAGTCTCCGCTGCCACTGCTATGATTTCAATTAAACAAATAACGAAAAAAATCACCCTTTTTAACACCAATCATAATGCAAAATAAGAAACAATATCGCTGTGATCGTCCCGCCACCCACGAACTCAAACACCACAACCATTTACCTCAACATTAAACTTCAACTCTTCCCTTTTGGTATTATCGTGTAGACATATGCACTGGCATGTTCAGGTTCAACCCCATTCCAAACAATCCAAACTGCATTCGCGTCATCATTTTTTTCCCACTCGCTCTCATTTCGTTCAATTTATGATTGTAAATTTCTACTGATTTATTTTTCGATATGTTTTTTTTTGTTCGTTCTTTTCTTTTCGCATCGATAATGTTACGACCAAATGGTGTGAGCCAAGAAAATAGAAAAGCTCACGAATATTTTTATTCGGTTCGCTGTTACTGAATAATGGCAACACAACACAATTGCTACTGTCTTTCTTTCGATTTTGGTATATTTTTTTTCATTTCTTTTGTTCCAAAGAAGAGATATTGTACCAGTGTTTATAAATAATTTTTCTACTTTTTTTGGCCTCATTTTTTTCAGAAAGACGGGGGAGAGCATCTTACAGTATCGCTCCATTTATGATTTATGAATCCATATAATGTTCTTTCGATGGAAATATTCTAGCCAGAACAATTTATAAAATAATACATAAAAAATGTAAAGACACACAGCATAGTACAGCGATGCGAAATGTTGGTGCAACAGCATCAGCGACGGTGAACAACAAATTCGTAGCCGGCAGGCATATTGTGCGTATCGTGGTTTTTCTCGCATTTTTTCTACTTTCTCTCGAAAAAAAAATCTCTCTCCACAACGCGAAGCAGAAAAAAATGCGACGATAAGAGGGCAGAAGAAAAGGAGACCGAGACAATGCTTTCCATAGATTGCAATAAGGTTACATACATCGAGGTAAAATATTACAAACACGCTTTTCGAACGTATTTTTTTCTCGTGTACAATGTGGATTGCTTGAGGTTTACAACTCGAACGATTTTTTTTGTGCCTTCGAAGAATGTTAAAAATATTCGCAAAAGAATTTAAAAAATTTGCATCCCATTAAAATATCGTTTGAAAACATCATATATACGAGCTTTTTCTGGTAAAAAAAGAATGCACATGAAAAAAGGAATTAACAACTCCTACTTACATTTGACTTTTTGACAAAAGCTCTACTACTGGCGCCATCTCTTTACACGAAGTCTAAGTAATAGATTTTTTTGTGTATTTCTCAAGTTTGAGATAAACCGCACATTGAATTGCGTTGAATTGTAATTTAATAAATTGTTCATTTTTTTTTTTTTAAAACATTTAAGTAATAAATAATTTTTAAAATGATATTGAATTTAAAATACAATAGAATAAAATAAAATAAACTAAAAACAAAGAGAGAGAAAACAGTGGAATGACAACAATCAATGTTGTCACTCACACGAACTTTTTTCTACACGAACAGTATTAGAATGACAAAAACCGAAATGAAGTGCACATGTATTTGAACAATATTGATCGCTCACATTGAGCGTCTCTACATACATACACAGTGCGCATAAGCGAACGAATCAACGTTAAGAATTTTGAACATGTGATTCAATGAGAGCAATGTTATTCGCAAAAATACATGGGCATTTCACTTTGGTTTATGTCATCGCATATACCGGCTGTCAACGATGAGCATGTAAACAAATTGTCATTTTGTATGATGCTATGTTTTGAGATTTTATATTAAATTAAATTTTTTTCATCAAAAAAATTGCTAAGTGTGCTCGATTAATTTTAAGTGAAATTTGCAATCAAATTTTAAATGCTACGAAATTTCAAGTCGAAAGAAATATTGCTCTACGCTGTGTGTATATTTTTATTTAATTTTTTTGTAATGAAGAGAAGACCGAATAAAAAGGCGTTTCATATGACGTAGATTGGCGGCAGTAAACCATAAATATGTATATAATAACTGTTGTGACTTCTATAATTCTTCTCTTTGATTTCGTTGACATTTTTTATTACCAGTTATTAAATTACAATTCAACGCAACTAAATATGTATGTGAATATGCGATTTCTCTCAAACTTAAGAAATACACAAAAACTTTTATTACTTCAACTTCGTGTAAAGAGATGGCGCCACGTTGAGCGGAGTTCGGCACAATAACACAGAAGCCCATATGACGCAAGTCAGGGTTGGGAATTAAACAAAAAAAAAAGTTTCGGCTTATACAAAAAAAATGTAAAACAGACATTGTAATACAGCCAACTAATTTGTGATCAAATAAGAATATATTCGATGAAGTAACTCAAACAAGATATCGTTCAGATTTTAGTGATACCTAATCGTTGTGTATGTGCCCAGTGTGACACTTGGCATCTCTTATGATTGCAAAATGGTCGAATCGAGACACAAAACTTCCCGCTCTTAATACACCAAACAACCAAAAGCATACACCCGGACATACGGAAAAACTATATGAACGAAGCAATAAATAATGCACAAAAGGACAACATGTTGTGCGTTCGTCATGTTAAAGAGTGCCCACCTCTCGCTCTTGCGAATAGATAAAGAGCAAACTTGCTCCACGGCAAAACAATGGGATTTTCGGTAAAGCGTTTTGTCTTTTTCGTTTTTTATGTTGAAACTTCTTAACTTGTCACAATTGTTTTCTACTTATTGTTTTAAGGAGCGTTTTGTAAATGTGTGCGCGGCTCTCATCCACTACTAAAGTCCATTCACGACGTGAATTGATTTATTCACACTCGATTATGCTCGTAAAGGGGAAGCTGGTGGAGAAAGGCAGCGACAGCAGCAAGAGCATCATCGGTAACAGCAACAACAACCTTAAATGCTCTGCTGTTGCGGACATGCAGACCAAAGTTTTGTACTGATCAGTTTGAGTTTTAGCTCATTGAGCAGCTCACTTAGCAAAACAAAGCCAATAATTCAAATGTGAATGATTACCAACAAATAACATAAAACAACATATTCAACTGAAACTCAAACAGAACTCAAGCAATGTGTAAAAGCAGTTGTTGCCCGATTTTTCTGTTCGGTTGCCTGATTTTCTATCAATGGTTTCGACAGAAAAAAAACCGTCAAAGATTTTGTGCCAAATTTCATAAATTTTCAATTTCTTTTGTTTTGTCCCTTAATGTATTCAATTCTCAAAGCCACCAATGGGTACTTACCTTTAAATTATGGCCAACAATGAGAGTATAGCGTACGTTTGTTGTTATTTTTACTGAAGTTTTTGTTGGCGATTTATTATGTAGTGTAACGGTGCAACTTTCGACAAGTGTTAAATATCAGAATATTTGCAAGGCAAATCACCCAATTAGAAATGAGCGCATTGGCTGAAAGTGAACGAAAGAAAAAAAGCAAGAATCAGCTTCCTTTATTGTTAAGTCCCGGAACGACGATTTATGGCCCAATTTTATTAAATCTCATTAATGGCACATTTCGAAATTCGAATGTATGTTTTTAAAACGGTGCACTCTTGTTCCAAAAATTTGAGTCCTCTGTTAGACACAAAATGAGTCGAATACGCCTCTTAATGCCTCTGCTTCTCTGTTCGGTCCTTTCTGTTTGCACACACATATATACACACACACTCTTAATGAGTTTACCGAATGGAGAAAAAGGGTTCAGTGTCTTTTGCATCGCCATATGATTGTATATGACGGTGTCTGTATGTTTGTTGGGACAACGATTGCTGATAATGTTTGGTTGAACAGTAATTATCAAATGATAATGGCATTTTATCACTTTCATTTGGTAATTATTATTCGGAAAATTCGGTGTTTTTAAATTTATCGTGTTTGAAATTAAAATAGATAAACATGCAAAGTATTTTACAACGACATCGAGAACCCGTAATCTTTGGATTCTTATTACACATGGATATGTTGTATATATATACAACCAATTCGAATGATTATACCATACGCACTAATGTACATCTTGCTCCATTCCATAAATCAAAGATCTTGAATCCCTTCTCGTGTTCGGCTGCTGTTGTTGCCGTATAAAATTCATTTCTCTTTTTTTCTGCCATTTTCTTTCCTTACTTCATCAATAATTATCGTTGATATTTTATATCCGTTAAAATTCACGCACACTTTTCTCTCGCACCCCCTGCCACATATATTCAACGTAATCGCCGCACATTGAAGCTGGCCCAACAGATTTATTGCTCAAACTTTGAGAATAAACGCGAAAAAAATGTATTTTTTTTTTTTCGTTCAACATCCTACTGTGTTATTTTTTTCTGTTACTTTTCCAATTCGATTTGTTCTTGTCTTGTGTATAGCGAGACATTTGATGACTGAGCTCAGTGAGACTAAACAGAAAAAAATATAAACCAAACACGGCGACAGAACACAAGTGAAATGGTATAATGCGCGTCATCAAAATGAGAAACAGTTGCCAAAAGGGTTTAGGTTTAAATATTAAAATTAATTTTTAATCAAGTTATGACAGGCGAACAGAAATGAAATAAGACGGGAGAGAGAGAGAGAAAGAAAAAAAATAATAATAAAAAAGGGGGATGTTTATGATACCTTCAATTTTCAAATGCCGTATAAAATATTGTATTTGAACAATGTAGAGAAGAGAAAAAAAACACAGCATCGACGGGATGATTTTAATGCATTCATTTCTCTAGAGAAGCAAATGTGTGGAGAGAGAGAGAGAGAGAGAGAGAGAGAGAGAGGAAGCAAAGCATGCATTGAGTCGAACAAAGTTCAGAAAAAGCAATAAAAATTACGAAATAAACTTTTTTGATTGCTGAGCAAGAGCAGAAAAAAAAGAATATCGATGTGATTAAACTGAATAAGAAATTATCATGGTGAGCTGCAACAATAACAAATACAAAAAGAACACAGAATGAAAACAAAAGAAAAAAAATTATAATCAAAATGAATGGAGCAGTAAAATTGTCAAAAGTATGCGTCGTCGCTCAATTGGACCGGTGGCTGTGTGCATAATTTATCCAAAATATTGAAGCGAATCATTTTGAATAAATGAAGTCCCTTCGATTTAATTAAAAAAAACGAAAGAAAAACATTTGTATGCTTAATTTTATATGAGCGTAAGAGCGTAACGGTAAAAATAAAATCGCCGGGGCATGAATGTGAAAAAAAATGTGCAAAGTTGCAACATCATTTTATCCCGAAAGAAACGTAAAAGTTCTTTTGATTTTTGGTGGTTGTAAATTCACCACCGACATGTCTACAGCTACGCTTTACCAAACATATTACCAAAACATCTCAGAAAAGATCCTCTATTGTTCTCTTGAGCGAATCGTCGGTCGTAACATGCATAAATTTTTTTTTTGCAGGCAATCCATTTCGGCGCACACCGAATAATTTATTGGTTTTTAAAATAGTCGAAAAAGAGAAAAAAAAAACTTTTCTCAAAGCACTTTTCACGATCATGATTCTTTACGCCAGACAAAAGGATGTTTTAAACGCTCGTTGATTTCTCTCGTGTACTTTTGTACATCCTTTCTTTGAAAGAAGTTTGTTCTTTGTACGCTATAAGCAAGAAACAATTCCTACGCCTCTGTGAAAATGGATTCGTCCATGAAAAATCGCATTTTCCCCATTTCATCTCACCAACAATCAATAAATTTGGATAGCAGGCGATAGAGAAAATCATCGTTTTACTTAAGCGCGAACCACTTTACTCAATGTGCATTCGATAATCCGCTTCCGCTATTAACTCCACATATCCATAACATTACTTATATCGTTTGCATTTCAATGTTTTCACAACCAATATTTGAGCCGTCACATTACAGTTTTGGATATGAGAGTATATAAAATCGAAACCCTTCCAATCGAATGCGAAAGCCATAAATTTTATTTTCTACTTTTATTTCTTCTCCCTTTCCCAAAATCGCATGCTAAAAGACTCGTCGAAAGCAATAAATTGATTTGGTCTATGTGTGCCGGGTGGATGGAGAAAATGGTATAGAAGAAAAATAGCGAAAAAATTTCCCACAGTTCGTTTATCATGTGCGTTTGCCGAAGTTTCGAAAAGAAAACGGGAATCTGAAAACATAACTCAATATGAACATGCATATACAAAGAATTTGATTCGACCGTAGAGTGGAAATTCTATTTGACTTTTATTGACCGCCCCACTCGTATTGGCCACGAACACTTACTTAACATAACATATGTGCTGCACAGACATAATATATTTTTTATATACATATGTATAGAAAGTTTTCCGGATAGAAGGCAAAGCGTATTAGGACAATGCTTGATGCCAGCATATTGCAAAGATTTGTGTGTGTGCACATGAAGGAATTTTTACCTCGGGCTGAAAAAAAAAACAGATTCACAAAATAAGGAGAGCAAATATCTTCTCAATGCTTGTACAACTGAATCAGAACTCAACACATACATTTTCAATTCAATAAGTCAGAAGCGAATGAAATATAATAAAATGGCATCGATTTGTATTCACGATATGTGACATTATTTAATGGTTTTACTCAAGCATTTAATTGCATAAATAAATGCAATAAGACGATGAATATCATACATATTCAATCGTCCATACATTTGTCGCCGGATTCTTCATTTTCCTCTTCTTCTTTTTCATCTGGACATTTGACAAAAATTGAATTCAAGAGACGATAGCTGTTCCGTTTATGGTGCAGACATCGAATATAGATCTACTTTAAATTTATGGTCAATCGTACGCTTTATTGGATGAAGATTGACCATTTAGATAGTGTCGTTTGCATTGTATGGCGTTCATCTTCACCATGCACGCACACAATAGCAATGCTATAAAGATGAAATCCAAGTAAATATGCATGAACGCAAGCGACAATATCGTCGTTGCCATTGTCAAAAACAATTGAATCCAGTCAAGTGTTTCTTTACATCGTGTCTTTCTCTCTCTATCTCCATTACTCTCTTCGTCTCTCTATTTAGCTATCATCCAATGCAAAACGATTCGAAATATAACCCATTCATTGCAAATTACCAAATTTACCGCTTACCACTCAAAACAATAAAGATATTGTCTTGTCGTTTATACGTTTGGTTCTTAATTGAACATTGGTCCCTCTCCCTGCCTTCTGTTCACATTCGATCTCACTTGTGTATCTCTTTTATGCTTTGGCCGACAACCATTTATGTAAATCGATCCGATGCAAAGATGAGAAAACTATTTTTGGCCCATAAGATTGTCTTTCAGCGATAAATGGATTTTCTTTCGACAGAAAACCAAACTACAACCAATGTGAGAGTGTGGAATAGAAAGAAAGAGAATGAGAGTGAGAGGATGGGCCTCTCTTGCTTCGGGAAATGGTTTGCCTCCATGAAAATCAAGTTATTATTCATCCTTTGGAGAATTGAATCAATGTACGATACCAGAAATGGGAATTGAGTAGCATGTAGTTGAGTGTCGCACGAGTGTTTACGTTCAAAATCTGGGTTTTTGTTTGTTGATTTTGCATATATATTCAATCGGTTTGTTTATTTACCTGGTTTTATCCAAAATCGTTTTAGTTTTATGAAAATTGCATGTTGGTCACTGTGATGGTTTGACTTCGATGTGAGGCATTTTAGATTTTATCTCATTTCGACTAAAAGTTTTATTGAGCCCGATCGAATCAGCATATTAATAGCATAATGTTATTGAGTAATTAGCGATAGATAGTTCGAGATAAATTTCCTGTGCACACTCTACATCCATTTGGATTGGAATTTATAAGGTCTGCTCATAAATTACATTTATAAAGTTTCAGATAAATGAGAGTTAATTTTTGATATCGTTGGGTCAATTTTCAAACTTTTTTTTGTGAATTTTCGAACCATTATTTAGCCCATCCAAAAAAAACACATATACCGTTCTTATCTTCTATAATTATAAATATTACTTGAAAGCTCACCGGAGAAACAGAATTATGTGTAATTTGTCACATCTTCGCCGGTTTTTCACGCATGAAATTGACCTTTTCCGATTATGCCTATAACGATGACACTTGAGTCCCTCGAATAATTGCCATCGAAAATGTGATGTTATTCCGTTTCACACTTTGCAATAATTACGTATGGTTATTCATCATCAAGTGTGTAAATCAGTTGAATGCATATGTATAATTTGAGTGCATTTCGATTGCTGGAACAAAAGAAGATGAAAAGCAAAATATCATCATAATGTTGCGTTTGGCTGTTTCAAGTGTGAATGAAGCAACCACGCAAAAGATATTTAATTGATGTGTGTTCGTCTTTGAATCGGCATTCATGCCATTTTATTTGTTTTGGGCTGATGCTGATTCAAAAACAGCATAAAACGATTGCATATGTAATTATGGAAGTGTAAAAGTGAACCAAAGATGTGCACATTCATATACATATATATCGAAATCAACGCACACACGTCATTAGATCATTACTTGATTAAATGTAATTCAAAAGGCTGCAATAAACAGAAGAATGAAACGAGTAAATATGATGAAAGCGATGAGCGCGCGCAGAAAAATTCTTGTGCAAAACAGGTAATGCACACGAATCCGTCATAGAATGAATGGAATAATGTGCATTACACATACCTCTCAATCCATCAACTTAAAACGTAATTATTGTTATCGTCAACACTTCAGTTCACTGATCAAAATAATTCAATATCAGCGGAATTCTTTGGCTCCACTCAT